AGTGAATCCTATGCAAACTAAAAGGTTTTTCTCTCCCTCAGCCATAGAATAGCCTTTAGTCATGATTCTTATTTTTAAAAATTGTTTAAAGGCTTTTATATCCATTTGGAAATTGGGAGTAAAATAAGCAAATCCCCCTTGTTCAGATAGGTCTATTTCGATAAATCCTATAAGGGATTGAATCATATCCTGATATCTTGTGTCTAAAAGAGTTAAAAGGCATTTTGTACCTAAACCCTTTCTATGAAGTGTTTTGACTCCTATAGTGATTAACCATATGTGTACCAATGAATATCTCATTCTTTCGAGACTAAAATATCCATTTTCACTTAACACTATCACTATCTTTGACACAAGATATTTGAACTTCCTGATAATGCTGAAAGATTGATCCAGCACTAAACAGAGAATTGGCATTTTCATAAAGATACTTGGGTTTGACCAAGTCAAATTTATGAGTTTTGAATCTTTTTATTTGTTCTTCAAGGTCTATTAAAGTTTCGACTTTTATAGATTCTTGAATTTGTTTTCCTTTGGAGAACATCCTAATCAGAGGGTTGCCTGTGATTTTAGATGATTCCATGATTTTTGGATTTTAAGGTAACACAATGTAATTTCTTGAGACTTTTAGTTCTTTAGCCTTTATGTGGGATAAAGACGAAAGGTTAGATTTTATTTGTTTAAGATCTTCTTTTATGCTAATGATTCTTTGTAAATCTATTATTTCACTTGCTTCCTGAAGAAGATCTTGTTTCTTAGTCTCTTGACCTATTTCTTCAGTTCTTAAGTGAGTGTCTTTTAAAAGATCTTTTATACTCCTTATTTCACTTAAGATTTCTTCTTGGTTTTCAAGGATTCGTAGTAGCAAAATAATTTGAATATTCTGCTGTCCTACTAATACCTGATCTTGGACTACTAAGGGTTGAAAATTGATTAATATGTAGGGATTTCCTAATTTTCCTGCTTCTTTTAAAGCTTCTCTATAGTTTGAATTTTGAGCAAAAGAAGTTTCACCCATTCAACCCAAGAATTAATTTTTGAAGTTTTTGGACCTGTTTAAACAACTCTTCTTGATTTTGGATCAAGGTAGCTGTTTGATGATAGAGGTTTTGAACAAATTGATCTGGCCCTTTGTTACTCAAAAATTGAGAATTAATTAAATTGACTTTGTTTTTGACAAACTCAATTTGTTGTTGCAAGTAGTCTTGATTCTCAATTAGTTTCACAATATTTTTGTTGTAATGCTTTTCAAAGTTTTGGAACCTTTTGAGCACTACTTTTTCTTTTTCTTTTTGTTTTTTATAATTTTTTGAAAAATTTATAATTAGGTCTACAATACTATTTAACTGGTTATTATCAGAATGTAAATTATGACTAAATCTTGGAAAACTACACACTATATTATGATTATCTAAAGTTATTTTTGGTTTTTTATAAAGATGTGCAATAGCTAGGTCTAAATAATCTAAACTCATAAAGATAAAATAATAATATCAATAGATAATATCAACAGTTATTATTTTGACGAAAGATAACATAGATAGACAAAACAGGTAAGTAGAGAATAGCAACACAAAAGGAAGCCAAATATTAACAAAAGAACAAAATAGTTAGCAAACGTTGACCAAATAGTAACCAATTTTGACCAAGCAATTTCTTACAAAGAAGACTAATTACGTATATGGGAAAAGGTGGCAATTTACAAAATGTTGACCTTTAGCAAAACTATATGACTTTTAACACTAATAAGTAAAAGTAGTCTGACACTAGAAGAAAATAAACAAGAAGATTTTTACTGCAATCTTAACAAAACAGATATGAAGGAAAACTATAAGACTGACACAAATTAATGCAAAGTTGATTTTTAACACCAAGCAAATAGACTTACATAAAAGCTTTATGTAGAAAGTTAATAAATAAATTATAAGACAAACTAGACAATGTAGACAACTATATCTTTGGCAAAGATTTTCGTTTGTAAATTAGAATTTGTTCACTTTCTATACCACATACAACTATGTAAATGAAAAAGTTCTGATACCATTTTATTTTCGATCGCTTTCTTTACCCATTAATTCATTATCTTTCCAAGTTTTTCAAAACCCAATGACCCCCCTCTTTCCGAAGAAAGCTAGTGACCAACCCAATCAAGAAAACTTGATTTCCAAATCCCTGGTGATTTCTCCTAAAACGCCATTCTCGGCTTCAAAAGGATACTCTCCAGTAGGGTTAAGTAGTAAAGAATTTCTCCTCTACCAAGTTATTTAGGTTTAACTTTCTTACTTTTCATAGTGGTGTAGGTCATGAAAAACAATTATCTTTCCTTTTTTAAAGATCTTTGCGAAAGAAGTCGAAAACAGCCTGAAACAGGAATCCTTTCATCTATATATAAGTATATGAATATAGAATAATGAGACAAACAAAAGCTACAAACTATTCTCTTTGCCAAAGATTTGTGTTTAAGCTAAATAACACATTAAAGAAAATAACCGGAAATATATTTTAACTAGATTTTTACTGCTGAAGTTTTTAATCCAAGTTAGTACGTGTGGCAAAATTTTAAAACTTTTTTTAGTAATTTATTAGTTTATGTGATATAATTTGAAAATAATTAAAAGATATTTTTTTCTCCATAACTTTTTTTTTATAATTTTACATTTTTTCAATGATAGGTTCTTTTTATTTTATTTAAATTTGTGATATTATATATAT